CCAGCCTGACCAACATGGTGAAACCCCTCTATTAAAAACACAAAAATTAGCTGGGTGTGGTGACTCCCACCCGTAATACTAGCTACTCGGGAGGCTGAGGCAGGAGAATCACTTGAACCTAGGAGGCAGAGAGGTTGCAGTGAGCCGAGACTATGCCACTGCACTCCAGCTGGGGCAACAGAGAAAGACTCTGTCTCAAAAAAAAAAAAAGAACCACTTGCCATATTTCACAGAAAAGATGATCAAACCAAACAAAAATATCTATTGTGTTTTTTATTGGGATTGCATTGATTCTATAGACCAATTGGCATTTTTTTTGTCTTCTTTTAGACAGGGTCACCCAGGCCGGAGTGGTGCAGTGGCATGATCATAGCTTACTGCAGTCTCAAACTCCTAGGCTCAAGTGATCTTGCCTCAGCCTCCAGAGGAGTGGAGACAGGCACGTGCCACCATGCCTGGCTAATTTTTTACTTTTATTTTTAATAGAGATGAAGTCTTTTGCCCAGGCTGGTCTAGAACTCCTGGGCTCAAGTGATCCTCCCTCTCAGGCTCCCAAGTGCTGGGGTTACAAGCGTGAACCACCATGCCCAGCACAATTGACATATTTAAAGTTTTGCATCATAACTGTGGCATAGCTCTTCATTTTTTCAGATCTCTTTAATTTTCTCTCAATAACATTTATAGTTTTCTGTACAGAGTCCCAAACAATTTGTTGGATTCATTCCTGGGCACTAAAGTATTTTTTGATGTCATTAGAAATGGTATTAAAATTTTGTGAACTGCAGATATTACCTAGAAATACAAACCAGCTTTATAAATTAAACTTGTAACCAGCTACTTACTTAACTTTCTTAAATTCTAATAATTTAGATATTGTGAGGTTTGTTCTTTCTTTCAAATAATTATAAACTTTATTTATTTTTCTTGAGTTAGTGTATCAGCTGGGATCTTCATTAAATTATTAAGTGGTGATAGTACATGCTGGTCTTGTTCTCAAATTGCAGACCAAGTTCACCTTTAATTTCTTTCTATTTTTGCTGTTTCCTTTTGAGGGCATGTTGTTGGGTACATACAAGTTTAGAACTGTTATATTTTCCTAGTGAGTGGAATCTTTTTGTTGTTGTTATGAAGTGTCTGTCCTTATCTCTAGAATAGGAATAGAAAATATGTAGTTATGTAATTATAATTGTACTTTATTCTCTTCCCAGACAATGCAAGAAAGAACTTAGAACTTTGTGTGTGTGTGTGTGACGGAGTCTTGCTCTGTCACCAGGCTGGAGTGCAGTGGTGCGATCTCAGCTCACTGCAACCTCCATCTCTCGGGTTCAAGCAGTTCTCGTGCTTCAGCCCACCAAGTATCAGGGATTGCAGGCACGCGGCACCATGCCCAGCTAACTTTTGTATTTTTAGTAGAGAGAGAGTTTCACCATGTTGCCCAGGATGGTCTAAATCTCCTGACCTCGTGAGCCACCTCCCAAAGTGCTGGGATTACAGGCGTGAGCCAGGTCACGTCCCACCAACCTTAGAACTTATGACTCCATTTCCCTCCCCAACGTCTATGTTATCATTTATTTTAATTCTAGATATATTTGAGACTCTGTAGACATTATCACTAATGCTGTTATAGCTACACTTACTTTTATGGTTAGTATTTGCATGATATATCTTTTTCTATTCTTTTCTTTTCAAATTCTCCCTAGTCTTATGCTTTATACCTATTTCCTCTAAATAGTGTGCACTATTTTTTCATTCCAGCCTGACCATCTTTGCTGTTTTACTGGAACGGGAACATTTACCAAATGTACATTTTATTTAGAGTTTAATATGCCATCTTGCTGGTTGTCAGGCCTACTCTATGTATCATTTTCTCTTCTTTCTGTTCTTTCAGACTGATGATGGTGTTCTTTATCATTCTTTATCAGCCTCCAGTGTAACTGTAATTGTACTTTATTCTCTTCCCAGACAATGCAAGGATCTCAGAACTTTCAACTCCATTTTCCTCCCCAACTTCTATGTTTCATTTCTTTTAATTCTGGATCTGATTGAAACTTTGTAGACATCACGTCTGTCTTACATGGTCAATATTCATTTAAACTTACTATTGTCACTAATTCGTCTTGCTTTTTTATTGTTGTTGTTACAACTCTGACATTTCTTGTGCATAAAGAATCGTGCATAGACTTTTTCTCAGGGGAAGTCTAGTGATGGCAAACTTTCTCAGTTTTTGTCTGAAAACATCTTGAAGGATCTTCTTCCTGGCATACAATAACTCTAGGTTAGCAGGGTTTTTAGACTTTGTTTTTTCCAAGGTACTTTGGTCTTTTCTTTGGTGGCTTTCATTGTGTGATTTTTCCCTTAGTTGTTGGATGAGTGCAGTTTTACTAGAACGCATCTGGAGATGGATTTCTTTGTATTTTCCTACTTGGGGTTTGAGTAGGGTTTCCGGATGCTGTAAATTGACATCCTTTATCTGTTTTAGTATAAACGTTTGAAAGTTAGATTTTAAAATATGATTCTGTTGCCTGGTGTGGTGACTCAATCCCAGCACTTTGGGAGTTATTTTTCACCTGTCACTGAAAAAACAATTAAAAAATTAGTCAGGTGTGGTGACACACTCCAGTGTTCCCAGCTACTTGGGAGGCTGAAGTGAGAGGATCACTTGAGCCCAAGAGTTCAAGGCTGCAGTGAGCCATGATTGTACTACTGCACTCCAGCCAGGAAACAAAGTGAGACCCTGTCCCTAAAAAATATAATAATTAATAAATACATGAATAAAATATTATTCTGTTCCATACTTTCTTTCCTCCCATTAAGCATCTTCTTATTGACTACCTTGGGTCTCTTATCCTCCCTTTTGTATTTGCCATTCTTTTGTGTTTTGAGGTTTTATTTATCATATTTGTCTTTCTGCAGGCTCCTCAACTGTCCATTTATTTTTGATTATGTGTTGGGCATTGTATTATAGAACCTGATAGTCAACATGATTTGAAGTTTATGGGTAATTTTCCCCAAAATCTGATTTTTGTTTGCTTCTGCAATGTGCCCACAGATAGCAGCAAACAAGGATGAAAGTAATCTATCTACCTTGAGGGACTGGAAATTTCCAGGCTCTCCAATGACTTATAGCAGAGTTGCATTCTGAGCTGACTCTGTCATACACATGACTCAGGTAGGGAATAGCTCTTAGAATGCCAAACAAAAGCAGAGGCAGTCTAATGGTCTGTCTACCACTTCCCATTTCCCTCTTCTGAATTGGCAAATGCCCCTGGGGCAGAAGTGACCCCAATTTCCAGATTCACTTCTCTGAATTTCCAATTGGTTCTGGATCTTGGACCAGTAATTCTTTATGATCAGGTTAGCCCTCTCTTGCCTTTGGGCTGATACTTGTTTTATTTATTTGGTTTTTAATTGTCTTCAGAGGCCTGAGGTAACTATTTCACCATTACATAAATTAGAGCCTCTCCACATAAAATAAGAATTGGATTCTAGTCTCTGTCCTGGAACTCACCAATTGTTTTGACCTTCAACAATTTACTTATAGTCTATGGGCCTGTCCCCTCATATATAATTTGAGCAGGTTCGCTGGGCCCCTGCAATTCAGCTTCTACGTAATTTGCACAATTTACTCTACATCACAGTGGATTTTAGGACGAGGAACCAAAAGAGAAGACTTACAGAAGTCAGTGTTTTTCCTATAAGTAAGAAAACGTGGAATATGGCAGGTGCTGATAAGTATTTTAAGAACGGGGGAAAGAAAAAGTTTGTTGGCAAGAGAGGTGCCAAAATTTTGTTGTTAACCTGTAGAATTCCTCACTACCAACACTGATGTCAGGCCAGGAATCCCCTTTTGTAGTCTTAACTTGTCTAGGATAAAGGAGAAATAAGAAGGGGCCTGAGACCAGTCTGGCTTGCAGAATCCTAGGAAGTTTTATTAATTTATGATGCCCTCTATCCTTGTGGGAGCAAGAAAATGCAGCATTTCAAGCCCCAAGGAACTACATTGATAAAGTTTTCTATTAGTACAAGAGCCCCCACCCCATCTCCCCACACAGCCTCGCACAGTGCCATCTTATTGCCATAACAACCTGGGTGATTGAGGGAAGTCAAGAGCCTCAATCAGAAAACACATGAGAAGACCAAGGTGGGCAGAGATCACCTGAGATCAGGAGTTCAGGACCAGCTGCATCTCTACTAAAAATGCAAAATTTAGCCAGCTCTGGTGGTACACACCTGTAATCCCAGCTACTTGGGAGGCTGAGGCAGGAGAATTGCTTGAACCCACGAGGCAGAGGTTGCAGTGAGCCAAGATGGTACCACTGCACTCCAGCCTGGGCAACAGAGCAAGACTCTGTCTTAAAGAAAGAAAACACATGAGAAGGTGGCTAAGTGTAAAACCTTTGTTCAGCAGTTTATCCTACTACATGGTTATTTTTGTAGATTCTTGGCATCTTTTATCCTAAGACACCCACTTCTTGACTCCATGCAGTCCCACATGAACGTATATTATACATAAAGAAGAACGAAAAAGGGAATGCAGGTTATAACTGTAGGCCCTTTAATTGAAGAGTCTAAAAACCAGAGGGCTGTAACAGAATACTAATCCTGCAGAAAAGGAAACAGAAACATCAGGCAAGGCAAGTTTGTCTTAACCCAGGCTCTCAATTGGGGTGCTCTCTTACATTTCAACTGAATACCTGTTTTTAATCACCCCTTCAACAGTCAGGGTGTCTGTCTATTTTGCAGCTTCCAAAATTCTAATTTCAAAATGCATGACCATCTTATCATGTTTTCCCATGGCTATCAGGAAGATACAGCAATTTTAGAGATTACGGCATGGTCAAGAATCTACACATCTGATGTGTTCTCTTTTCTTTTTTACTCGATGCACTCAAAAGCAACCACTGGATTTTTTCAATGTGAAAAAAGAAAAATAGATACTCATGCCAAAATTCATGAGTGTAAACACCCAATAGAGCAGAACTTACAAAGAAATTGAAAGATTCATTTCTGGATAGTGGTTTTATTGGTAAAGATGTAAGAACAGTGGCACTATTAAAAACTCAGGTAATAAAGCGCTAATCTTGGTTTTGTATTGCTATAGTCTCTTTCTTCTAAGGGGAAGAATATCTGCCAAAGAACAGGATGCTACCTGAGGATTTGTGCCGAATAAAGAAAATAAATGGATGGTCGGCTGTGAAATTTTCCTCTGGCATCAACATGCAGAAAGTGGCAATGCCCGCTGTGGCAGCTGCTGCCTCTGTTCCCTCTTCATTCACCTCCACAAAGGCCTTATGAACAATTTTTGATATAAAGATATCTCTGGCTCCTGACATGCCAGACAGATCAGCCTTGCTACTGTCAAAGAGATCCTGCACACCCAGGCGGGCCAGGTCAGAGTTGAGGGTGTAACTCTCTTCCAGTTTGAACCTGGGCAAGCTGACATTAACTTCAATGGAACTGAGATTCTCAGGTTTGGTCCACTCACGCAGCTTTTCCAAAGTCAACTGTTCCTCAACCTGTAATTAAAATGAGGCAAAAGAAGACGTGATATCAATTTTTACGTAAGTAAGGCAATAAGGTAATATTTAAATAATAATCCCATAATATCAGTTGCTAGTTATTTTCCTTCATGTTTTGTGCCAAAACAGATTCCATTTGGAGAATTTTATTTTTTTCTGTCAATTGATGAAATAGGGCAGAGCTAGTGTTCCAAGTCATCAAAGGTTCAAGCACAGGGACTTTGTAAATTGGGTACATCATCCACTCACACACCCACCCACCCAACCACCCATCCATCTGCCCATTCATCCATTCATCCACTCATCTATCCATCCATCCATCCACCCACCCGGCTACCCAGCCACACAGCCACCTATATATCCATCCACCCATTCACCTATCCACCCATCCAGCCATCTATCCACCTGTCCGTCATCCATCCACCCATTTACCCTTCCACCTATCCACCCATCCATCCACCCATTTATCCATCCATTCATCCAAGGCTTACTAAACCCCTGCCACAATGGATTACTATGATAGGCCATGACAGCTGCTATTACTCTTCATTGGTTGAGTAGTGCTAGAAGAAATTTAAAATATTTCTTCTATTTAGTCTGAATCCCACTGAATCTGTGAACCTCACTGGAGCTGAAGTAATATCTAATAACTTTAGCTCCTGGGTAAAAATTACAAAGGCAGATTATGCACTGGGTCTAGTTCCTCATCTGTAATTGTGATGTGGACAATACTTATATCTACCTTATAGAATGTTGAGAGCATTAAATGAAATGATGTATATAAAGTGCTTGGTGCATAGTGCTATCTAAATGTCAGCTGTTATCATTACTATTGTTGTAGCTATTGGTCTGGAACAGAACCATCACTCTACTTGTTCCAGTCGTGCTGATAATCCCTTTTATGAGGCTAGAGATTTCACTTTACAATCAGAAAAAAAAACTAATGCAAAAATACAACCGAAAGAAAGACCACATTGATTTTTATACAATGTATTAAAAGTCTGTACATGCAAATGTTTTTTTTAGAAATATAAGGCAAAATTTTTATTATTTAAGACCAGTATTATTTTTATTTATTTATTTATTTATTTATTTTTATAAAGATGGGGTTTCACCATGTTGGTCAGGCTGGTCTTGAACTCCCAATCTCAGGTGATCTGCCTGCCTTGGCCTCCAAAGTGCTTGGATTACAGGCGTGAGCCACCACACCTGGCAAGACCAGTATTTTATATATATACATATATATATATATATATATATATATATGTATGTATTTTTTTAATTGCACTTTAGGTGCAAATGTTTATTATTAGACTTCCTTTCTGATAGCAAGTTTAGTTGGGGAGGAGAGACAGAGCACAGAGCAGGCCAGGGTCCCTAAACAAAAACTTTAATCTTCACAGTTTTGCTTACTTCTAGCCCTGGCAAGAAATATAATAGCCTTTAAGTTACATATAACAGACAGCTTGGGCAACATAGTGAGACACTGTCTCTACAAAAAATTTAAATGATCACCAGTGCACTCCAGCCTGGGAAAGAGAGTGAGACCCTATCTCAAAAAGAAAAAAATACACATAATGGAAACCTCATACGAAGTTTCTAGTAGTAAATAGGCCTAATGTGTCACATGAGGCTTTTTCTGTCTTGTAACCATTGGAAATTTAATTCACTATCTATATGAACTGTGATGAGAATGAACAGAGTAATAATAGAATTTTATAGTACATGATGAAGCTATATGCTGCACTATTAGGATGTTTCAATCTTTTTCCTTATAAAACAATCCTTATCTTACCGTAATTTCCTCTAAAGTTAATTCAAGAGCCTTTCCATGGGCTGCTACTAACCAGTTTTAAGGTTAGTATAGATCTTTAGATGACCCCATCACATGTGTCCACTGAAAGTAGCTGCCTATCTTTCTTGAAAAATGAAATGTTAGCCGGGCACAGTGGCTCACACCTGTAGTCCCAGCTACTCAGGAGGCTGAGGCAGGAGAATTGCTAGAAGCCAGGAGGTCAAGACCAGCCTAGACAAGATAGTGAGATCTTGTGTCTATAAATTTAAAAAAAAAGATTAACTCTGAGCTTTGGTATAGTAAGTGTTAATAGGCTACATTTACAAAGGAATAACAAACTACTGGAAAATGTGCCATCAGCGAACACTTAATGAGCACCTACCTACCATGCGACACATACACACAGGAGGAACCACACAGCATGAAGGCCAGGAGCCATACCTTCTTCAGGCCCATGGACTCATCGTCAGTGTCATCCGGCAGCAGGATGACCATGCTGAGCTCCTTGCCTTGGTAAGGCAGTTCCAGCACACGGCACTTAAGGTCCTCGATGTAGCCAAATGGAAATTTGTTCTTCTGATACATCATTTTCACAGTTTTTGTATCTTTCTGAACAGTTAAAAAAAAAAATCACTGAAATTACTCTCTGCATTCTTTTCGAGCAATGTACGATTCTGTACAGTTACCTCACCTCACCTTATTCAATCTGAACGGAGCATCCGTCGTGGCCTCTTTTAGGAATTTCTCCTGCCAGTTTCCCTTGAAATAGATGGCATTTACTAGCACAAGTTTAGTCATGTTATCAACCACGCCTGAAGCCAACAGTTCTGGAATCTTCCCTAAAAAAAATCAAGTTAGCTTTAGAAAAAATCCAAATTGGAATTCCAAATTTGAGCTGACAATATATTAGCATAGAAATACAATGCAAATGTATACTTTCTACTTACTCTTCATTTAACAACATATTAAGTTAGGAAAGCTCTACCCAGTAGCATGTCTTCACTTTAAACATAACAACCTGTGGGGCAGACCAGGGTGACACACAAACTACCCACAAAGGACTCCAAAATTTAAACAAGTCAAATGTGCTGAAAGACTGAAGACAGGAAAACCCTCCTTTTCTGGACTGTATGATAATCAATGAGCCTCATTTTGTAACCACCATTCATTTTTAGAAAAACAGTTCTTGAAAAAAATGTCTTTAGCTATCAGTAAATCACTTCTTCAAATCACTGAGTAGATGCCTACTCTCACAAAAAAGATTTAAACAACATCCCAAACGCAGAACAAGACCAAGCATGGTGGCACACACCCGCAATCCTAGCGCTTTGGGAGGCAGAGGTGAGAAGATCCTATGAGCCCAGGCGGTCAAGGCTGCAGTGAGCCACAATAGTGCCATTGTACTCCAGCCTGGGTGACAGAGCAAGACTCTGTCTCTTAAAAACCGAAACCAAAACCAACCAAACAAACCAAAAAAACAGCAGAACAGCTACTCCATGGAAACAAAGGTCACCTTGGTGACCACAAGTATGGCCAGGAACACTTCCCATAATGGCAGACAGGCCTTCTGGAGTCGGTTGATTGATACAGGACTACATAAGAAAAGAGATGTGGTAAAGAAATAAATTATACCCTAAAGAACAAGTCAGGCCTGTAATCCCAGCATTTTGGGAGGCCAAGGCAGGTGGATCACGAGGTCAAGAGATCGAGACCATCCAGGTCAACATGGTGAAACCCCGTCTCTACTAAAAATACAAAAAATTAGCTGGGCATGGTGGTGCGTGCCTGTAATCCCAGCTACTCAGGAGGCCGAGGCAGGAGAATTGCCTGAACCCAGGAGGCGGAGGTTTCGGTGAGCCGAGATCGCGCCATTGCACTCCAGCCTGGGTAACAAGAGCGAAACTCTGTCTCAAAAAAAAAAAGAGCAAGTCAGTCCCCACCTACCCACCTTTTTTTACTGGACTAGATCTTGGCAAAAAATTTATGACCACAGCAGTTTGTGAATATTGATTTCAGGTATTTCCATGAAATTCCGGGACATTTCTTTCCTTATGTGTATTAGATAATTTTTGGCAGGCTGGATTCTCCTCAAAATTTTAATTTCTTTTTTGCTCTATTCAGTGTTGGTTTTAACTTTACTTATTTACTTTCTTAATTAATTTTTTTTTTAAGACAGAGTCTTACTCTGTTGTCCAGGCTGGAGTGCAGTGGCGTGATCTTGGCTCACTGTAACTTCCACCTCCCAGGTTCAAGTGATTCTCCTGCCTCAGCCTCCTGAGTAGCTGGGATCACAAGTGTGTGCTACCACACCTGACTAATTTTTTTGTATTTTTAGTAGAGACAGGGTTTCATCAAGTTAGCCAAGCTGGTCTTGAACTCCTGACCTCAAATGATCCCCCTGCCTTGGCCTCCCAAACAGCTGTGATTACAGGCATGAGCCACCGTGCCTGCCAATGTTGGTTTGAACTTTAAAATGTAGTTTTGGGGAGCTGACGAGAACAAAGAATTTAGCTGCTTGAGTTAAATCATGTTTAAGTTTCCACTCTGGTGAACTTCGAACATTTGAGAGCTGTCCAGCAATGGGCAGTGCAGAGTTCACGCACCCTGAGCATCCTCTGACTGTAACCGCGATGTGTGCCAGGACTATGGGAGCTGGGGAGGGAAGAATTGCAGGTGGGGAAGGCAGACTGAGGAAAGGAATGACCTGTGCCTAATGATTCCATTCTGCCCAGGCTCTCACCTTCTGTCTGTCCCTTCACCCACTGGTTTATGGTCTTCCTTGCGTCTTCAGGGGCATGCTGAAAATCCACACCAGTCAGGACGGCACCATATGTTTTCTCAGTCGAAGCCAAGAACTCCTATTTTAAAAAAAGAAGAAAATAGAAGCAACTCCTACCTATAGAAATTGTTTTCTAAGATCCCGAAAAGCAACAGAAATTGTCTTAAAAGGCTACAGTTTCAACTCTTACAGTTTTTCTCATTGTAGCAAAAAATATTTAACATTAAATTTTACTATGTTAGCCATTTTTACATGTGCATTTCAGTCACGGTAAGTCTAACCCTTATCCTGTTGGTGTTGTATAAAAATTACTGCTCTTTTCTGACCTTGGACTAAGATTTCACAAATACTGATTGTACTCTTGCTTCTGTAAAACCTCCAGGAGCTATCTTTCCACTAAAAAGACTGTAATACACAAACCACCATGTCAATTAAAGTTTGCATTCCGTCATGTTGCCTTCCATATTGTTTCTGCCATATTTGCCTTCTGTATTGTTTTTCTGAAAGTTTACAAATATTAAAACTGACTTCCATGACTTGATAGTGCTGAAAAATATCTACACTGTATAGCGGGATTTTAGAACGTGAAGGGCAAAGTACTTACAGGGAGGAAATTGTAAGTTTTCTCTCCGTATAATCTATTAGCAAGTTTCAGAATATAGGATGCACCACGTTTGTTGATATCAGCGTTCAGGCTCTGGAATCTTGAATGAATCTCCTCAACCGTGTTGAAATGAAAAGTCTAAAACAAAGAAGACATTCTTTCCACAACCATCTATTTTGAAACCATAAAGTGGTTCCTTGGTGTTTCCTTCTATCAGATTAAATTAGTGTGTTTCTATTACTAACTATTGATGATCCCCAGCCCAATATTTGTAATTTGCCATTGCTTTCACATCGCTTTTTGTTATACTTGCAGTTCCTCAAATGTGAGTCGTTAATACACTATATATTTATGTATAAGTCTGCCTTTTTCCAAAGAAAATCATAACTGGTATGTTTATGTTTATTTTCTGTATCAAATACAGTTTTACTGAAAGTTCTCAGAAATAAGCAGTAAAAATAAGATTCATCCTCTATTCAGAACCACAAACATATTACAGACTGAGGTTTTTAAAATTTTATTACCCTATTAAACATTAACTCATTTATTTTAAAATAACTTCCTTAAACTTAACATTCTGGCAAAAGTTTAATTCCTCATGTATCAGTTACAAATCAAGAGGCCCTTTGTGGTTTTATGAGGCCTAGGCTGGTTCTTTTATTATTAAAACACAAAGAACAAAACTACATAGAGTACAAAGTCCACATTACTCACTGGGATATGGAATCTTTCCACTGTGCCTATGATCCATCTGCTTTAATGGAAATGAGGGGGGAGTCCTTAAAACTATTCTTTGCTGAGGTTTTTAAAGTCCCTGGAAAGTCTCAAGCTAGGAACTGCTATAACCCTGCAAGAAGCAACTAACAATTAGTAACAGAAGTTTCTTTAATGAATTTTTTAAAAAATCTTTAAAATGCTTTCATATCTAAAGTGATGAGCAATAGAAGCTTCGAAGCCCCTTAAACATGAATCCCAGGCTGCACTTTGCCAAGGAGCAGGTGCCGCATAATTTATGGCAGGTATGTTAGAAGAACCGCCACTGTTACCTCTCCTTTCTGCTGAGATTTGAGAGACAGCTAGAGTTCTCTTCTCGGAATTGAAGAGTACCAAGCACAGGAGTCCCCTCCATTAAGGACAAGAAGGAAGGCTGGGCATGAGAGTGACTTGTCACATCGCCAGCGGCTGGGTCCTCCTCCCGAAGCTGTTGGGTCTCCCGCTCACCTCCCCTGCAGGGCTTGCTATGCCACAGCCCACTAAGCCATGCACAGAGCCCTAGGACTATAGAACCACAGGGTCACTTTCTTCCCTGCAAAAAAGCAATGCCACTATCTCCATTATAGTGCATTCCCTATGTCTCATTGCTCTCAGTATAATTGAAGGTAGCATTATGTAACAGGCAGTATTTATGAGTTGCAAATCATCATATGCAAAGCGAAAACTGGAAGCTGCTGGCCCAGGAGGACCTGGTATGGCTTTCAGGAAAGCTGTCAGAGTCATCGACTGGAGCAGAAGCCTCGCTCTGAAGGGATTTTTGTCAGCTTTGCTCAATGCTGTCTCCTCAGGAACACAAAAACCAGTTCCTGGCATGTGGGAGGTACTTAGGAAAAACCTGATGACGAATGAAAGCCTACATACAAATGGGATTTTTCAGAAAGTCTGATCTCATAATGTATAGTTGTTGAACACAGAAATACAGTTTTTTGAAAACACGCTGTAAGAGCTCAACGGCACAACCTTTCCATACAGACTGTCCATTCGTAGGGAGACAGCAGGAAAGACCCTTTTGTTTGCTTCTGCTGACCTTGGACAGCTGCGCCGCCGTGTTACCTCTGGTCCCCAGAAAGACCATGGCCATCGCAGATGAAATGCTAAAGGGAGAGATGAAGACATTTCCAGCCGGATTGTTCTCACTCAAGGCCAGGAACAGGTCCAAGGCGAAGCGGGTGTTTGCTGAGCTCAGCTGCTCCATGGTGAAAGCTGTAACACATAACAGGAACCCCATGGTGCCTGGTTCCCGCTGCTCATCCCAGCTGATCAGGCAGCACTATTTCCCCAGAAGCTTCCTCATCTTGTGCCAACCACCCTGTGATGCCATGGATCTTGTACTTTCTCCCCACTTTTGTATTACAGGGGCAAGAACACTTTCCCAGGCCCACAGATGTGGGATCATGCTGGCCAAGGATTCAGCAGTTAAAGGGGATCAGGACCCAGGGTGCCCTATAGGGCTCTGACCTTGCAGACAGGTGAGTCTGGGGGGTAGGGTGGGGCAAACCCCAGCCACCCCAGCCTTAGCATAGCCATCCAGCCCTGGGTCCTTCCAACCTACATCTGGGAATGCACCTGCTTCTGAGCCTTTGATTCAAGTCTGATTCACTGGGCAATGAATCTATCACCTACCTTCACCTGAACTAAGAGTGTTCTATCAGAGACTCATAGCTAGCTCTTATCCATTAAAACTCCAGCAAGGGTATCGCTGTAATTATTATAATCATATAATTATTCCTAATTTTTGAGGTTCAAAAGGTCTAAGAGGTCCAGTGCTCAAAGTCTCAGAGCCGGCGCAGGATGCGCTCGGGTGTGGCGGTGCAGCATCCCCATCCTCCACCCACCAGCCCATCTTGATCTCCACTCTCAGAGCCCTTATTTCCCCAAGGACAGGCAAAGAAGAACTGTGCTGGCTGCTCCGCACCTAAGTACAAAGCTGATTTCTCCTTGTTGTTAAGTCGTCTCTAGAATCGCGCGGGGTTCCTCCTCTCCCTCCCTGCAGCTGCAGAAAGGAGAAGTGGCTTGGCCCTGGGCTGCCTGGAAACTCACAAACAGTTCTGGGAGGCAGAGAATTCAGGGAGAAAGAACAACATTCGGATCTCAGGGTTCAGTCCTGACTTCCGCCTGCATCTGTCGTCCTCCCTCCCTCTCTCGCTGGCTGGCCCGGCCTGCGCCTCGGCAAGGGCGAGGATCCGAGGGGTGTATCTCAGACCGGGCTCTGGTAGGGGTTTGGGGCGTGCACCCGGGGCGCAGGCGGAGCGGTGAGGCAGACTGGCCTGAGCCTAGGAGGTGGGAGTGCTGGGCTGGAAGCTGAGCGAGGGGGCCTGGTCCCTCCGAGTCCCGGCCTTACCCGATGCGCCGAGGCACGCTCCGGGCTCCGAGCTGGGTGCGAGGTCTGGGAGGAAGCGCCCAGGGCCGCTGCCCTTATACCAGGCGGAAGTGTCTCGCAGGCCGCGGCCGCGGGCGGCGCAGCGGCCCTTCCCCGTGACTGCCTAGGAGTCAGAGCTCCTGGGGTTGCCTAAGTGAAGGCAGAAGTGAGCGTGGCTTCCCGGCAGCGCCCTCCTCAGGGAATTGGCGCCTTTCTCAGTTCTAAGCCTTTCCCGGAATCTCTGGCAAAGACCTGAAAAGCTATTTCTTACAAAGACGTGAAAGACTGAGAAGACAGTGTGTCACCTCTTGGAGGGCAAATGACTTTCTTTGAGACCCATCTATATTGGGAGCTTTCTTTGACGGGAGGAAGCAAATGTGGGGATCTTGCATAGGGGAAAAGAGGGGCCTCCAAGATCAGATAAAACAGACCCAATTCCAAAACCTGCTCTCTGCTTCCAAGATCACAGCTTGCTGCTGCATCCTCAATGGTGGAAAGTGGAAGGGCAAAAGGCGAAATCCCGTGAAGGCTGTTTTAAAGGGCCAATCCCACGTCTGAGGGAGTGCTCTCATGATCTAATCACCTCCTAAAGGCACCACCTGTTAGTATTGCATTGAAGATTGTTTCAGCATGAATTTTGGAGGGAACACAGACATTGAAAGCATAGCATTCTGCCCCGGCCCTCCAAATGCAGGCCCTTCTCACATACAAATGCATGCATTCTATCCCAGTGGCCCACAAAGTTCCAGCATCAACTTTAAAATGTAAGTCCAAAGTCTCATCTAAATATCTTCTGAATTAGAAAGGCATAAGGTTCAAGGTACAATTCATCCTGAAATTCCCCTCCAGCCATGAGCCTGTGAAATCAAACAGGTTACATGCCTTCCAAAGGCATGTAATGGCCAGACAGGCATAGGAAGGACATTCCTATTCCAAAAGGGAGGGACAGGCAAGAAGAAAGGAGCATCTGATCCCAAGGAAGTCCAAAAACACAACAAGGCAAACAACATTAAATCTTGGGGCTTCAGAATAATCTTCTTTGATGCTGTGTCCCCAGTTTCAAGCACATCAGGTGGGGATTGGGTCCTCTAGTCCCATGGATTTGCCAGGTGTAACCACTGCAGCAGCTCTGACAGGTTGAAGTTTAGGCTCTCACAGCGGGGATTTGCATGCTGGTGGCTGTACAGTTCTGGGTTCTCAGGGATAGCCCTGTCCCCAGAGCTCCACTAGCTATTACCCTAGTTGGGGCTCTCTGCAGTAGCCCCAGTGCCATTGTTCCACTAAACATTGCCCTAGTGGGGGCTTTCTGCGGCAGCCTCACCTCAGTGACAATTCTCTACTTGAGCCCACAGGTTCCCCAAGATGTCCTTCAAAATCAAGGTGGAGGTGGCTATGTCTCCATGGTTCATGCACTCTATGCACCTGCAGACTTAGCATAACATGGGCACTGCCAAGGCTCACAGGAAGGGTGTCCTGACAAGGGCCTGCCTAAGCCACACCTGGAGTGGTGGCCAAAGGGTGCTGCACCAGAATGTGGGGGTCAGGGGGCAGAGACCTGAGGCAGCCCTGGGCAGCAAGCCCCAAGGTTCCAAGGTGTCCTGAGTCCTCCCTGAAAACCATGCTGCCCTCAGGGGCCTGGCACTCTGGGATGGTGATGGGAATCCAGCACCAGCAACCTCTGAAATGCCTTTGGGTTCATTCTTCCATTGTCTTGATAAATAGCATCTGGCTTCCTTCTAGCCATACTCATCTCATTATCAAGTGTGAGCCTGGCCACACCCTTGGTGTTCGCTCTCAAACATGCCTTTTCATTCTTTACATGGCCAAAGATTTGGAAAGAATTTTCTAAACCTTTAAGCTCTGCTTTCCTCTTGATTATAAATTCTGTCTTTAATTCATCCTCTTTGCTCACATTGTACTATAAGCAGTCATGAGAAGCCATGCTGCACTCTGAACACTTTGCTCAGAGATTTCTTCCACCAAATAGCCTAGTTTATTACCTTTAAGTTCTGCCATTCAGAAAACACTAGGACACAGACACAATTCAGTCAAGTTCATTGCCACTGTGTAGGAAGGATGACCTTCCCTCCAGTTTCCTTTTAAGATCTCATCAAAACTGTCTTTATACCTCTAACTGCATTCTGGTCATGACCACTTAATCTCTAAGAAGATTTAGGCTCTTCCTGCAGCAGTCCTTGTCTTCTGAGCTCTCAACCAGAACTGCCCTTAATGCTCTGTTCATGTCTACCTAGGCTTTTTCCCGAATGCATCTCCAACTTCTTCCGGCCTCTACCCATTAATCAGTTTCAAAACTCTCTCTACATATTTAGGTATTAGTTATAGCAACATCCCAATTGATAAATGGAGTATCAATTTCTGTCATAATCCATTTGTGCCATTATAAAGAAATGCCTGTGATTGGGCAATGTATTAAAAACAGAAATTTATTGCTCACAGTTCTGGAAGCTGGAAAGTCCAAGAATAAGGCACCAACATACTTGGTGCCTGGTGTGGGCTGCTCTCTGCAGAGCATTTCCCTAAAGGGGAAAATGCTGTATCTTCACGTGGTGGTGGGAGGGATGGAAAGGGATGAATGCCGTCCCTCAAAGGCCCTAATCCCACCCATGAGGGTTGTGCCCTCATGACTTATCACTTATTAAGGCTCTACCTCTTAATACTTTCACATTGGTGATAAAGCTTCAACATATGAATTTTGGAGAGACACATTCAGCCCATAACATCTCTTCTGCCACATGAGGACACAGCATTTGTCCCTTCTGCCTTTCCCACCAAGTGAGAACACAGCAAGAAGATGCCCTCATCAGACACTGGGTCTGCACCTGCAGATCTTGAACTTCCCAGCCTTGGACTTCCCAATCTCCAGAACTGTGAGAAATATGTGTCTATTGTTTACAAGGTGTTTTGATAAAGCAGCAGGAAAAGGCCAAGACAGGAGCTCTTCTTGAGAAGCTGGCCTTGTCCTTACCCTCTTGTCTGGGAGAAACATGTGGACACCTCCATATTACTGCCCCCTGAGTCTTCCTAGCCCATCTCTGCTGACAATAACATGGAGAAATGTTGGTCTCCTATGAGATTTTCCTCGTTTTCCTCCACCTTGAATTATTTCTGAATTATTCCTCCTGCCCCCAGCTCCTGAAAGTAGAAGCGACTTACTCTTAGACTTTTCTGGCTCTTCAAACAAGCTGCTACTGGTCACTCAGAACTCTCAGAGCATCTTGAGATGCGTTCTTCACTCTTCAAAAGTCATTTGGAATTAGCTTGTTTTCTTGTTTAGTTTAAGAAACGGCTATTAAGTGAATAATGACACTTTGAATAAACTTGCAGCACAGTGAAATTAAAAGTCTCACAACAGCGTATTATAAATATGTTAAATATAATTCTTCTGGGTAAATTATTTCCACGTTGTGTTCCCTGAGTAATGTATTTTATTCTATATAATCAATTCCTCAAAACCTAAAATTCATAGTAATCCACTAGCAGTTCAACAATTCAAAACATTTTAAACTAAAAAAGCAATTTTTGTGTGCCATAGTGTGTATTTGCTATAGTAAAAGAGAAATATGAAAATAACTGTTAAACTTGTTCTTAATAAATAGTTTCTCCAGCCTGGGCAACATAGGGAGACCCCATCTCTAAGAGAATTTAAAAGTTAGCTGGGCGTGGTGGTACACACCTGTGCTCCCAGCAACCTGGGAGGCTGAGGTGAGAGGATTGCTTGAGCCCAGGACTTGGGTGAGGCTGCAGTGAGCTATGATGGCGCCACTGCACTCCAGCCTGGGTGACAAAGTGAGAAACTGTGTCAAAGGAAAAAAAAACATCAAAAAATGAATTAGTAACTTATAAGCTAGAAAAATAACACAAAATCATTCTACGGATAATGCCTTTTTTTTTTTTTTTTTTTGATGGAATTTTGCTCTTGTTACCCAGGCTGGAGTGCAATGGCGCGATCTTGGCTCACCGCAACCTCTGCCTCCTGAGTCCAAGCAATTCTCCTACCTCAGTCTCCTGAGTAGCTGGGATTACAGGCATATGACACCATGCCCAGCTAATTTTTTTGTATTTTTAGTAGAGACGGAGTTTCACCATGTTGACCAGGATGGTCTCAATGTCTTGACCTCGTGATCCACCCGCCTCGGCCTCCCAAAGTGCTGGGATTATAGGCGTGAGCCACCGAGCCCGGCTCGGATAATGCTTTCTTATAATAGTCTGAGAATTTTGGGTGAGGCTAATTTCATGACTGTGAATAATTTTGGCCCCTGGGCTGTGGTTACAGATAATAAGACATTTTCAGGAAAGTCTAAAATAATTTACATTTTCCTATGTTAGGCAGCTTACAGGATTGAAATGACAGAAATGAATAAAGTAACCAAATAAACTCTCAGGGTTTGTTTGTTGTTTCTTTTCTTTTCTTTTTTTTCTTTTAGTGTGATGGCACGATCTCTGCTCTGCTCACTGCAACCTCTGCCTTCTGGGTTGAAGCGATTCTCCTGCCTCAGCCTCCTGAGTAGTTAGGACTACAAGTGTGCAACACCAGATAGTTTTTTGTATTTTTAGTAAAGCAGGGTTTCACCGTGTTGGCCAAGCTGGTCTCGAACTCCCGACCTCAAGCAGTCCGCCCACCTCGGCCTCCCAAGGTGAGGGGATTACCAGCAAGCCACTGCGCCTGGCCAGGGTTTCTTTTAGTCCTTTTATTTTCTGCCAAATAATGGAACTAACCTAGCATTAAAATTTCAGCTGTGCAACATAGCTTTATCCTCCAGAGGGCAGAATTGCATCATTTATAAAATGCAAATCGTTGGCTTCTGCTTAGAACGTAAATGCCAGGACAACAGGTAATTTTTCTTCAGTCAAGCTTGAACCTCCTTACTGGGGTAGCTAGAATGTCTCTAATTTAATTTTATCTTGCGAATATCCATGTAAGTAGTCCACTGGGGACTTCCTCTGACCTTGCATCCTTCTTTCCCCCTCATTTCAGAGGCTTCTTTTCAGTGTCTTACCTTAGAAGGTTCATTTTCTTTCAGGCCTTAGCCCCCTGCTGTTGCCTCTTCCTTTCTTTTTTTTTTTGAGACGGAGTTTAGCTCTTGTTACCCAGGCTGGAGTGCAATGGCGTGATCTCAGCTCACCGCAACCTCCGCCTCCTGGGTTCAAA